CCCTCTGGCCGCCATTGTCTTCACGTCTCCGGCGAACATCCGGCTCGCACCAAGTCCGTCGGCGCGGCCAAGGCGGTCTCGACTCTCCTAAGCCGGAATGGTCCCGCTCTGTTAAGAGTGCCAGGAAGGGCTTAGTCTAGGCCAGATGAGATGGGTTTGTCATGTTCGACGGTCGTCACGGGCGCCTTCCGGTGGTCTGTGGTGGTGGTTCAACCATGGATTCTTCCTTTCCCGGCCTATTATGCTGTTGGGATGGCAGGGACCTCTCGGCGGTGGCTCCAGGCGTTGGAGCTTCTCTGGAGTGCGCGTGGAGGGGGCTGTGGTGGTGGACCGACTTGGGTGGGTTTGCAGTCTGAGGGTGATCATCTCGGTTCAACAGCTTGGTTACAGGGTGACCGTTTTGTTGGTTTCTGTTGTTGGTGAGCTGTAGTTCAGAGGGGATTTCTCCGTTGCCTGGGTGTTTCGTTTGATTTGTGGTGATGATGGGTTGCTGCTGCCCGATGGGGAGGGTGTTGTTGGTTTTTAATTTATTTTGTTGTGTTTTTGTGTTTAGCCTTTAGTTTTGGGTGTTTGTGATTTTCTGTGTTGTATGTTTGGGCTTCAGATCTTAACCGAGAGCAGTCTCTTCTTCAGATCCGTCTAGGCGGCACGAGTGGCCGCAGTTTTCGGGCTTGAGGTTTCAGTTTGTAGCTGTGTTGAATCTCTTTGCTAATGGTTTGTAGATCGTCGGTGGGGGAGGTTCTAGTTTATTTTGTGCATTAGGTGTGTGTTTTTTTTATCGTTTTGTTTTTATTGGTTTGTTAGTGTAGCTTTGTCTGCTTCTAGTGCAGCTTTGTCTGCTTTCAGTGCAGCTTGTCTGCGTTTTTGGAGTTTTGGTTTTTGGTGTTTGCCTCCTTGATGGAGTTTGTACCCTTTGCATGTGATGACAAGGGGGTGGTCCAGTCTTCTAGTTCCTGTGTGTCATTTGACACTTTGATTGTACTCTATTGAGTTTTTTAGTTATTTATATAATTGTCGTTTAAAAAAAAATAAAAAATGAAATCATTCAATTCATCAATGATTGTTGATTGCTAACCAAATCCCAAACCACTTTGTGGTTGAAAGTTGTGAAGTCTTTGAATCTCAAACCACTTATGGTTTTGACAAAGTTAGTCCGCTCCATTTGACCTACGGTAGTTTTCTTTCACCCTCATGAAACCCCCATCAAAATTGGACGACTATTTTCTCAATTGGCCATAAATCGATTTTGGGATTCGAAATAAAGTCATAATGTAAGTGGAAATAAATATGGGAATCGCACAAAATTTCTTAATTAAATTTTAAATATAGACGAAAAAAATTCTCTCAAAATTATACTGATTATGGCAATAAGGATTAGGCCATTATTATTTGATATTGCAGCCCGTGCGATGCACGAGACATAGTATAAGAAATTTATTATTATCAAATATTTAAGATAATGTGTCAATTTTATTCGACACAACATATCAAGTCTGTAATAATAAAATATTTATTTAAATAATTTTACTTTTTTTTGTGGATATGAATTTTATTAGTTATTATTTATAAAATATTATATACGTGTAATATTTAAAATATAAATATTGTTTGTAAATTACTTGCATGCACTTATATTATTATTGATTATATTAAATCACCTAGCCATCAAAACCAAAAATGTACTAGAACATTTATATATTTGGGTATATTATTAAAATAATTAATAAAGATGTTCACGATTCTTTAAGATCAAATTTTAAGTTAATTAATAATTAGTTTAAATCTTCTCGAATTTTTTAATGAACTCATCAATTTTAATTTTATTTAATAAACTAATGTCTAATAGTAATTGTCAAAATTGGCCGATAAATTTGGACGGGAGTATTTATGACAAATATAGTAATAAAAATTAGTCTCAAATCAGGCATTTCCTCGTCCATCTACCAGTGGCGAAGCTACATGCTAATGTAGGGGTCAGCTGATCCCTATAGATTTCAAAATTTTTAGTATAAAATACTGTTCAAACACTGTTTATTAGGTTAATGACACCGCTAAAAAATATTGCCGACCCCGGTGAAATTTGAGGCTGGCTTCGCCCCTGCCATCTACTGATGAGTATTACCAGACACATTGCAGCACCAATGTAATGGGAAATGGCCATAATTCTTGTGACATATTTCGACACCACTTTACATCTGACTTGAAAACACAAGGTGGACAATAGAACTTCACATAAACAAGCTTATTTTACTTACTTTTTAGCAGAGACAAAATTTGATCATCGTTCATAAGACAGAGTTTAAGGCAAAGAAAACTAAAAACTTAATATTTTATCAACATCAACCCCTATAAATATATAATATTCCTTCCCACATATCACGACCCGACCCCGACCCGCCCGTTCCACAGGACAGACGGGTCGGTTTTGAATCTTCAAAATTCAAATGCCCGTTCCACCCCGCCCTGCCCGTTTGCCATCCCTACTCGACGGTATAAGCCATTCGAAGAAGCCAACCGTAGTCTTCCCTCTCTCCAGCAAACCCGAGTACACCACCAATTTCCTCCAAACCTCACCCACACTCCGTCTTCGAGACTCAACCCACTGCACAACCTCTTCAAGCCTCTGCAACTTCTCCAAGCCGAACGTGTAGTACAACACGAAAGGCCTTCGCGCTTGAGAAGCCGCCAGCCACTGGATCACGGACTTAACTTGAGGGTCCCCACCGAAAACCCCACAGCCCCAGTTCCCGGTGGCCACCCCAACCTCACCTTCATTATGACCATCGAGAAATCCGCAAAAAGCCTTATTAGCCTCACGCAGGAGGCCTTCGGGCATGTACTGTGTGTTCCCAGGCCCGTCGAGAGCATCGATTGCGATTACCCTCGTTCGGCGCCTTCCGATCATGTCGGCACCCTTTGTGTCCTCGTGGGGACCGGCAAATCGGAATGAAGAATCGTAGCCCGTGTAGTTTGAGAATCTCTCGGGGCCGACTATCTCGATGGACTCGTTGTCCGCCATCACAGGTAGGAAAAGCATGGCGGCTATCAGCTCGGGATTGATCGCGAAGCGGATTTCTTCTTGGAGAGAGCCGAGTTTGAGAACCAAACCTCCGATGTATTGATCTGCAAAATCTACTTCGAGGGCTTCGTACGGTTGATCTTCGATCAGGCCAGAAGTGTGAACCTGTGGAGAGAGTTGTAGATAAGTAGTTGCATTCCACCTTAGTTCAAACCTCAAAAGGTACTTTTTTTCTTCCCTAAACAAACCATGATTTTGGCAATGTTGAATATACATATGGGAAGATGGTACATAAATATAACATCATTTTGGGATCTCAAAATGACCAACTAGCATGCTATTGCAGTACATTGGTTGCTCATTAATTACCTCAAATCTGCATAAGGAATTGTTAGACTTGCTCCAGAAATCAGCTTCAGGGTAAACGATGTCGGACGAGCTATTTCTCCTCAAAGGGAGAACTTTTCGCTCAAAGGAAACATTCCCAGAAGGCATATTCTTGCATACCCTCTCAAAATAGTGAACTAAGCACTTTATTTTGTTTTCATGAGCTGCCTCGTTACAATGGTACAAAATCCTGAAAAAAACATTATTATCAGTGAGATAAAAGGGAAAACGCTACCCGTTACTATGTAGTTGGTAATCATTTCAATGGAAGATGCCAAGAAATCTGAAACAAAAGAGAATTACAAGTATATGGATGATGACATACCCAAACAATTTATCAAAGTTGATGTGTTGAAGATTTTTTTCGCCTCTCTTAGCTGTTGGAAACAAGCAAAACAAAGCACAAGCCAGAAGAGCAGCAATCAATTCCTGAAACAGGCAATATAACTCATGATCAGAGACTATAGTTGAATTGAAAAAGATTAGATGCAATGTGATGAAGCCACCTTAAGTTGAATTGAAAAACACAAAAACTGAATCTCATATGTGAAAATCAAAACTCGGAAGGAACTATTTGCTCTTTCTTACTCGTGCCTGCAAACACATCCCACCTTACTAAGAATCACGGCACCTGGCCGTTGAGCTTCCAATAATCTAAGACCAGTTTCCATTCCATTAAAGACAGCTGCATTCTGATAATGGGATTTCAACAACGAAGGTAACCTCAACACTAAATCAGCAAGTCGAGGGATCACTTCTCCAAACCACTTCTCGGCTTCACCCTTATTCATCAACTGCACTAACAATAACATCAAACTCTTAAGAAGTAATTCCAGATGCTCCTATATAGTCAACACATAGCAAGACAGTCGACGAGACAGTGTCATGCCAATAACTTCAACTAATCATGCGCGTATTAACCTTCTTTACCTTATAGCTGTATTTTGTCACTCGACTCACTCGTGAATTTTTTAAGAGAGTTTTCAACATATAAAAGCCAGTACCCACAAATCATCATCAGCATTCCAAACTCATACTAACTTCTCACATGTAAGAGTCCTAAAACTTTAGTGATTACTCAGTTCAGAATAAAGGAAAAACGAAACAAAAGGTGAGACAGTAAACTTACATCGTCAAAGAACAAGGAGAAGCCAGGCGGCGTGGAGGCATGGAGAGGAGAAAGGCCGAGAAATTTGCGCAGGTCGTTAATGGAGACGGCAAGAAGCTCACCGGAATCGACATGGCTGTGGCTCGGGCCTCTCGAGAGGGATTCAAGGATTTGCACCACCGGCACCGGCCAAGAGACGGCGGAGGAGGATCGGACGGTCAGCGGCAAAAACGGCAGAATAGACCGGAAGTCTTCCCGGGCATCAATGGGAAAATGATTGCTCATGCTGTGGTGTGCTAGAAACAAAGAAAAGAAGGAAAACAAGAAAGGAAGAGGATGATCCCGATAATGAAAATGGTGGAAATTTATAACCTTTTTGCTGCAAGATTACTTGGGCTAGACCAAGATTCAGACTTTTGTTGAGTTTGTCAATGCTGCTGAATTTCGTGGAGCTGTGGAGGCAATTTACAGGTAAATTCATATGAAAAAGCCAGCAACTAACCAATTACTTCACCCAATAGGCCACAGGCCACAAGTCGTCATTCCATATCGTATATAATTGCTAGTTAATCATTAAATAAAACCTCATAAATAAAATCTAATTAATAAAATCTTATTTATTTTCCCTCCAAAAAAAGTTACAAAATTTCATTTATATTTTGTCTTTCACATTAATGGTTAAGTGTAATCATGTAAAAAAATTAATAACATTAACTATTATATAATATAATAGCAAAAAAATAGTATTAACTACTATAATAATAATAATAATAATAATAATAATAATAATAATAATAATAATAATAATAATAATAATAATAATAATAATAATAATAATAATAATAATAATATTTTGAAACAATAAAATTATTTATACTTATGTAATTTATATTTAGTGTGAAATGTTATGAGTTGGTAATAGCATTAACTATTATATAATATAATAACAAAAAATTACATGATTACCTTAATATGGTGTATTAATGTGAAGACAAAATATGAATGACAAATTTTGTAACTTTATTTTGAGGGAAAATAAATGAGGTTTTATTAATTATGTTTTATAAATACATGATTACACTTAATTAAGTTTTTTGAATGATATTATTATTATTATTATTATTTTATATTTATATTTCATGAAACAATTTTCTTTAGAAACAATTAGTAAATAGTTTTAATATTATAGTAAAAAACCTTTAAAATCTTATACACAATTGTCGTTGTAATAATAATAATAATAATAATAATAATAATAATAATAATAATAATAATAATAATAATAATAAAGTTTTCAAGTAAATTATTTGACCATGATCCCTCCAAATTATTAAAATTATATTACCCATAATTTTTTTTAATCAATATAGTGATTCATATATACTCAAATAATTTATATAAATATTATTTTATTTTTACTAATGATTAAATCTTGAAAATGTGGTATGTCCATTATCTAGAATTTTAATATTAAATTCACATATCTTGAAAATGTGATATGTTTATTTTCTAAAATTTTAATATTAAATTCACATATTTTGGAAATGTGATATGTTTATCATCTATAATTTTAATATTAAATTAACACATATTATTTATAATATTTTATGTATATCTGTGCATGTGCACAAGATGATAACTAGTCAATTAAAGAAAAGGGGAAAATGAAAGCTAGTAAACCGTCAACGCCGGGAAATAGAAGGAAAAAAATTGGATCTTTGAACTCAACGCAAAAGTAGTAACTAGTAAAATAATGAAAATTTAGGTGTGTATAAAAGTCTACCAACGTGGGCCAACAAAGTAGGGCTGTAAACGAGTCGAGCGGCACGAGCCGCTCGCGAGCGCTCGAGTTAAAGCTCGACTCGAGCTCGAGTTTGACCGGACTCGAGTCGAGCTCGAGCGGCTCGAGCACGAACTCGAGCCTATATTTTGCATTGTCGAGCATCTCGAGATATACTTTAATGACTAACCACCCCTTATTATATATATTAGCATAGGTGCTTAATGGTAATTTTACTTAATTTTCGAGTCGAGCTTGAGCCTAAAAAATCGAGCTCGACGAGCTCGAGCTCGAGCAGCTAAAAAAAAAACTCAATCGTGCTCGATAAGGCCAATGTTCGACTCGGCTCGGATCGTCTACACCCCTAGGCCAAAGGGCCAACTAGAAAGCCAAGGGCCGCCTGGCCCGTCAACCCGGCACGGACCCAGCCCGATCAAACCCATTGACCACGGGTCGTTTCAGGGTCGTTTTATTTCATGATCCGGGCCATTTTAGGGTCATTCATTTCATGATCCGGGCCGGGCCGGGTCAATGGCCCGCTTTTCTAATTTTTTTTTTTATAAAAAATGACAGGATTGGCCCGGACTCTGACGCGGCCCGGGACATTGACACGACACATGTATAGGTCCGTGCCTGGTCCGGGTTTCGACGGGTCGGGTAGGGTCATATCAGTGCAATAAAAGCCTTCCATAACTATTCAAGAGTTTGATAAAATCATAAAGCTAAACTCCCACTCCCTGCCTCATCTTTCAGTGTTAAGCGCCGGGTTTTAATTTTCCTAGACAAAACCTCAAAATGGCAGCTGCATATGCAGCTCTTCTTTCTCTCAGGCATACTATCGAACACCTTGGAAACCATCCCGACCCTTCAGTAATATCCCTTTACGACACACAAATCGAATCAATCTCCGAAAATATCAGTTTCTTGCTACAGCTTCTCGAAAAATGTACGTGTCCCGACAGCGCAGAAGAAGCAGATGCTCTGGAAGCTCATCTTGCCGATACAGCTTACGAGGCAGAGGACCTGGTCGAGTCGCATACTGCCACTCTCAGACAAATATTCAATCCCATTCATTTCTTTCGGTTTGTTCTCAAAGCTTCTAGTCTTGCGAACGTGGCGGAAGATATGGATTCACTCACAAACTGCGTCAAGGAGATGAAGATGATGACTAAAATCAATGATGATGATGAGGAGGAGGAGGAGCTGAACAAGAATCGTACAGTAGTCCTAACTGGAAGTTCATCGAGGTATCTTCCCAACTCAAATATTATGGTAGGTGTTGATGATGTCTTAGTACAGGTCATGGATAAGCTCACAGATAAAGAATGGCGACCAAATCGTTGTATCATCCCAATTGTCGGCATGGGGGGCTCCGGTAAGACTGCACTTGCGAGATGTGTTTATGAAAACACGCTTATCGTGCATCATTTCGACATTCTTATTTGTGTTACAATTTCCCGGGAGTATAGCGTTCGAGACATCCTAGTACAAAGTCTTCTCTGTTTGAAACAAACGCTGTGCGAGGAAGATCTAAATGGAAAGTGCGAAAATGTGCTAGGAGAAGTACTGTATAAGAGCTTATTCGGTAGGAGGTATTTAGTTGTAATGGATGATTTATGGGGTGTCGAGGCGTGGGAAAAAAATGCAATTCTACTTTCCTGATTATGGAAACGGGAGTCGAATTGTTATAACCACCAGGCTAACTCGCCTGGCTCTTTACATGGCTAACTCTGTTGATGATATCGTTCAAATGAAGTTCTTGGATGAGGATAACAGTTGGAACCTATTCTGCCGAATCGTGCTTGCAAAAGAAAGTTGCCCTTCCGAGTTAGAAGAAACGGGAAAGAGAATCGTGAAAATCCTGCAGAGGGCTTCCTCTGTCGATCACGGTGATAGGCGGACTTCTGTCGAAGGTCAAAAAATCACGTCGGTATTGGGAAAATGTCTTGAAAAACTTTCATGCAGTCTTGAATTCAGAGGATGATGAGTGCTGTTCAAGAATACTGCGCCTGAGTTATGTTGAGTTGCCTATATATCTGAAGCCTTGTTTTATTTACATGGGAGTTTTTCGGGAGGACCGTGTAATTCCTAAATCAAGGCTCGTAAGACTGTTGGTTGCTGAAGGAATTCTCAGACCAATCAGTGGTAAGTCTTTGGAAATCGTTGCTGAAGAATACTTACAGGAGCTTGTGGATAGAAACCTGGTTTTAGTTGAACAATTGGGCTCCACAGGGAATATAAAATCTTTCAAAATCCACGACCTGTTGAGGGACCTGTGCGTAAAAGAAGCTCGGAAAAAGAAATTTCTGCACGTATTAGAGGCTCAGAGAAATGAGTATTTTGCAGTCAAAACACAACGGCGCACCAGTTTCTATTCGAATGTGATCGGCGATCACTATATTAATTCTTGGCGATCTTCTTCACTCCGTTCTTTGATTTGTGATTTGAGGAAAGGGACTATTGAGTTGCGAAATCTTGATTTCAAATCATTGAGGGCGCTAACAGTTGTGTACGCCCCGCATTTAGTTCCCGAAGAGAATGATGATTTCATGAAAATTATTCCGTACTTGCGGCTTCTTGATATTGACTGTGAAAAGTTTCCGCTAGCCACTTCAATTGTCCGCCTGGGGAGTTTCCCAAAGAGACATTCAACGATTGACGTTTGGAAAATGCGTCAACTTAGGCACGTCAAGTGTCAAGGTCTCATCCTCCCGGATCCTCCCAAGGAAGACAATGATTTTTTGGTTGTGTTGGATAACCTAGAGACACTAAAAGTAGTACGGAATGCCAGGTGGAGCGAAAATGTGGTTAATAGAATCCCGAATATCAAGAAGTTGGGAATAGAATACTCGGGACTGTCTCTAGAAAGTGGCGAGTGTTACTGTCTCGACAATCTCTCACAGCTGCATAAGCTGGAATCCCTCGTTATCTACTTCAATGGCCGAACTTCACAAACGACAAGCTCGGTTGATTCTCTACCGAGAACAAGGCCAAGTAAATTGGGTTGGAGCCTCGGAGTCTCGTTTTCGCTGAGGAAGTTGAGTTTATGGTGCATGAAATCCGATTGGAAAGAGATTGGGACAACGATAGGTTTGTCGCCACATCTGCAAGTTCTCAAGCTGATATATTGTCATTTGGGACCTAAATGGGTAACCGTTGAGGGTCAATTCCAGCAGCTAAAGTACTTACACGTCAGCTGTCAGGATCTATTACAGTGGAGTTTGGACAGGAGTCACTTTCCGTGCCTCGAGCATCTTGTTCTCGATACGTTATCCAAGTTGGATAGGATACCTCGGGAGGTTGGAGATATGCCTATGCTGAAATCGATCGTTGTGTGTGATTGCACCGAGTCTACCATGGCTACTGCAAAGGAAATAGAAAGAGAACAAAGAGAGGATATTGGGAATGAAAGCCTCCGAGTAACGGTTGTGTCCAGAGACTACGACAACAACAGCCATCAAGAATTTTCGATCGAGAGGCTTGAGGTAAGGCCTGTTGACTTCTT